CATGGTCGACAATGGCCTGGGACAGACCCTCGCTGCTCCCGAGATACGCCATTTCTGACCAATATCCTTCGGTAATTGGATTGAAACTTCCAATCTCCTGGCGACCGGGGTTGTCGGTCAAAAAGCCCATCTTTCCAGATATGAACGTTCTGCTCTCCTCCCGCGCAATTTCAAGCCCTTCATCTGTTGTAGGAACCGGACAATATCCACAGCAGTCGTGCAGGACATCATCAACGCTGCCAAAGAATGCTGGATGACGATGCAAGTTGACCGTTCGGTCCGGTGACCGGTTCCATTCCGCGTTGAGAAGCAGGTCCTTCGTGAATAAGATCTTCTCAATTTTTCGCGCACAGTACTTTTGCCATACGGAATTTTTATTGTGTGGTAATTCGAGATTTGGTCTTCTTCCATCCAGTCAGGAATTTCATCGTCCCACTCGTCTTTGAGATTGCCGGGTAGAGCATACTGCCGACTACCCTTGATGGCCGGACGCCCGCGCTCGCGTCTTCTCTTATCCTGATACTGCTCTCGCTCGGATAAATGTGGAAGTTTCTCTAGGACGAGCAAGCGAGCTAGACCCACGATGCTTTTCAAGTTTCGCTCATAAATAGTCTGAGATGGTCAGCTGGGTCATCAGAACAATGAAGCAACAGAGGAACTCACGGGGTTGATGCGAGACCGGTCTAGATCAGGCCAGAAGACCTCGAAGCCTCTTCGAGAGTATTTTAAAAGACGACTTTCATACGATGGAGAGCGCCGTGATAGATCGATACTGTTGATCTGTGTGATGTATGCGCCCAGAGCCCAGGGCGTGAGGTACAGTTACCGCCCATTGTACGCCACAGCAGAGCAGTCCACATCGAGTCCCGTCAATATCTCCGCCGGCGACTTATACAAGCGAAGCACAATTTGTACATGGCGTGTGGGATATTGCGACACAATAGTAATGGCGTGTTTTGTGCGCACAGCTGTGGTTTCAGTCAAAACAGAATCGTTGATACATTGCTTGATGTGCTTGATCTTTTCAATGGCTTGCTCGTGATCCAGGCCGTATAGGAAAAGATCCACGTCGGATGCAGGAGCAAACTTCTCGTGGTAGAATTGGCGAATCTTGCGTTTAGAGTCTTCATCTGTAAACTCGGTTAGCAGCGGCAATAGCGTAGTTGCGACCGAACTACCAACAGCGAGGACATTGTCCCAGTTGAGGCTGCTCAGCGACCCCTCGGAGAAGATGCTGAAATTGGTCTGGAATTGCTTTAGGGATGGAACCACTGCGAACGAACCATCCGGTCTCCGGTCTTCGTCTGATAGGGGCATTATGTATTTGGTTTTCACATCGTCAGATTCTGTCGCGAGGTTACGGGCGCGGATCCGTAGGTCCGCGGCACCACCTCGTTCTACATCGTAAAGCGGCACGACATTGAGAAGGCCATCTGCGATGACGGGATGATCCGGCTCCTGCGCGAATATTTGGCGTAAAACGGCGTCGTAATCGTTATATGGTTTAAAGAGATCGCGCACAGGTTCATCTGGGTGCGACAGCAGGTATTCAACCAGATCTGCGTGCTTGACAGGAACTGAAGGAAGGGTGCGTTGAGCCATGATAGTCTCCGGCTGTTATCTGGTGAGATGGTGTCGCAGGGTCAAAAGTCGGCAGCGGCTCATTCTCCTAAAATAATAATTTGGGGCTGAACACGAGCTTTATACGAGGGGAGACATCGTATTCATCCGCATCTAATTGGAGCTTGTCAACCAAGACGCTCTTGAGTCATGGCTGCTAGCGTAGATCCCGCGAGCAGAGGCGGCCGCTCGTGTTGAGGGATCGTGCCATGGGAGCGGATACTGAGATTTCCACAGCCACGAATAATATTGGGCTTGGACGAATAGGCGCATCGAGCGACAAACTATGCATCGCAGCCACGGATCGTAATTCTCGAAACAACAGCTGGCTGAGAGGTAAGGTGTCGAGAAACGCGTCAAGTTGACGGTCATGGGGAGAGGATGAAGCTATTCGGGGACCAGTCTGGGAGGCGCGACGCGGGGTCGCCAAGCTTTGGTGCCTGAGGCTGGAGCCACAACACAACTCAGGCCTGCTTAATCGCTCCTTTTCTTTCCAGCCTGATCAAAGTCGAGGGATTGTAATGAGGATTCCGAGATACGACAAATAACCTGAGTTTGATTTCCGAAATGCCAACTCAACAGGCTACTCGGAAAGAGAGCTTATGGATCAAGACTGCAGACCCCTCTTCGCCCGAATCTGGAGCTCGACCCAAAAAGATATCTCTCGGCAGGCTGCGCAGCAGCGACCTACAGCGGCCTCTTCAATCAAGCCTATATGGTACAACAAAGGCAGTTTCGACATCTCAGTCACTTTGCGAACAATGGATTAGCCTAGATACGGCCCACGGTACAATTGAGTCGGGTTTCGGTGGAGTTAACGCAAAATTCCCCGACATTCGCGATTCGCTCGTCAACAAGCGAACTGGGCTGTCGCGTATGTAAAAAACGAGAGTCAAGGCTAGAGTATGCAGGTTAGCAATCCTGTAATATCGCCCATGATATGGCATCAGATCGGTCAATAGTGGAGTGCATTAACCCGACAGCTCAGCAGCATCGGGCTTAGCGCGGAAAAACTCCAGCAGAAGCGGCAAGAGATCGACACCGCAAGTACACCCCATAGGAGCCCTGGCCAGACCAAGAACCACCGGAGAAATTGTGCAGAGCTTCATTTCACACCCCGCAATCTTCGGGGTAGCAGAGGCCGACAGCCCGTGGAGTCGCGGACCCTGGCGTCATTTCCCGCACTATAAGAGAAGCTCCGACGGCACGTTGGGAAAAGGAATTGCGGAATCAACAATTGGTTTTTCTTTGATTGCTGCTGTCGACATGCGCGTGTTCAAAGCTCTTTCTGCGCTGTTGCTTGCTTCAGCGGCGCAGGCGAAGTATATCGTGCCTGGCGGGCGATGGAGAGATACCGAGGGTAACCTGGTCAATGCCCACGCGGGTTGCATCTATTTCGACAAGGAGTCTTCCAAGTTCTGGCTCTTTGGCGAGTACAAGACTGAGGGAGAAGAGGAGAGTGGTGGTGTCGCTGTGTACAGCTCCGATGACCTCGGGACATAGGAATCGCACGGTCTCGCATTGGGTACGTCGAGTAGCAATTTCTCGCACTGATCGGAGAATTGACCTTCGTTTCGCAGAGCCCGTCGAAGGCCACCCGTACATCTCCACCGAGCACATCATCCAACGCCCAAAGGTTGTTTACAGCGAAGAGGCCGGGCAATACCACGTACGTAAGCCGAACCCCAGTCGAACAATCTATACTCACCAGACCAGATGTGGTGGCACGCAGATAATTCGACCTACGGCTGGCTTCTCCGAGGTTTCGCAACCTCCGACAACATCGCCGGCCCCTACAAGTTCGTCGACGCTGTTGCGCCTCTCGGCAACTGGTCCCTAACCTCAAAGACAGCTCAGAACACCTCACTTTCCGCCAGCTGTCACTCTGAAGGCAGTATAGGCGCATTTGAGGCCCCATCTGGAGTCGACTTTCTTACTAGTCATGATGAGGCACAGGAGATTTTCGGTCGCGGCATCATCCGTATCCAACCACATGGCCAGCGGCACGCATATTTCCTTACATTCCTTCCAGATGCCGTTGATCATCCGCCATGTCACGTCCAACCCCGGTCGACCCCTGACCAGCCATTATTCACCAAACGTGCTCCCCACACCTCCTCAAAAGCATCTGCATTAGAGAAAGGAGATATGCAGTTAGCCCGCCGCCAGACCCAGAATCAGAGGGCCAACCTCAAAACTCGCAATAATCATTCAACACGCCACAAGAATTCTAGGAAAGGACTGCCATGGTTACCCGAGGAACAGGAACTCTTGGTAAAGTTAAAGAAAGATCAGGGTCTCCATTGGCCAGATGTAACAAGATTGTTCTCCGAGAAATATCCAGGAAGAAGTCAAGGTTCTATTCAGGTATACTGGAGCACGAATCTTTCCAAAAGACTACCATAGCCAATTAGCTACCAAATTATGCTCTATAATTGGGTTTACCCATTTCCTACCACCTTTAAAAGGGCAGTCAAGTTCAATCAGGTGTCCTTGGAGTTTGGATTCAGGGTATACGATGACACGGTTAGCGGGGCGCTGGAAACGGCTCCCATTGCACCGTCCGCCTGCCGCCAACGGACATCCCACTGCCCCTTGCGGTATAGTGCAGGCCGCTTCGAGGATAGTGTGAAGTCTTGCCGCTTTTACGTGCCTGCCCCTGCCGCCCCAACGCTGCCGTTGCATCTATATAAGCCTGGCCTCCCTCCCTCGAACGACCACGCACTCTCTCTTCCACTTTTCCCTCTTCCCGTCCCACGGCGCCCAGTGCACTGCCCCCCTTTTTTTTCTCTCAAGATGCCGCGTTATCCGGCCATGCTCCTTTTCCAGCATGGCGCCAGCTCCACGTTCCTCGCTTCGCCTCCTTTAGCTACGGCGTCGACGACGGGTTATTTGGACGATTGAGACGTGAAGTCCTTGTGACTATTACTTTGATTGGTGAGCCCATCCACCTTCTGTGATTCTGTCCAGTCACTGGCTCTTGTGATTTGGGGGCCTTTCGCCCGGCGTTCAACAACCTTGGAGTCTTTTGGCTAATACTTCCTGTCAGGCTGTTTTATCTTTCCCTCGCGCCGTTTTGAAATCCCCTTCCTTCTACCCCGGTGCAGTCTTCGATATGAGGAACCTGGCTCACTGCTTGCCATGGGCTTCCGAGATCTAACATGGGGAGGGCAGTTTCATGATCGTCTAGCTACCACCCTTGTAGCGCAGCCTGCTGGTGCCGCTCGGGTGAACAGGGTTGCAACTCTCCCCTCCACGGCCATCTTCCGGACCCACTGGGATCTGATCACATATCCTTGCCTTGCTTCACCAGCCAATGGCAAAATTGCCACATCCGTTTCATTTCCGTGTCTTGGGCATGCGACGCTTGGAATTGTAGTGAAGATATGCGATTAGGGCCGGGTACCAGATCGTGGTTTCAGCCCAGCGTACGCAGGTGAGCGTGGGCGCGTCAGCAGACCGGTCATGATCTTGCGGGCAAGGGAATTTTGCCTTGCCGCTTCTGCTGATGCTGGACAGTAACGGACCCAGAAGGGAGGTATAAGGGGACGATTGGGGCCCACGAGACTTTCGGGCTTCTCACATTGATTCTTCCGCAGCCTTCCCTTCCTCCTCCAGTTCCGTTCTTTCCTCGTACTTCAAATAGCATCTCTACCACCGTGTTATACCTCCAAAACTACCCCGATTCCCACAATATGCTTCCTGCATTTCAGATAAATAATTTCAAGCCATGGACCCCCCTTCCCGCGAAACCGTGTCCACCACACAGAACACTTAATGTGTGCTCCCCACAAACTTCAAATACCCCTAACCCTGAGCCCTGTCATGTTCTACATCACCTTCTGGCGCGACCACCGGCCGAAGTCTGCGTGCATGTCAGTGCCAACACCCAGCTGGAGTCAGAGACATTCGGGCGTAGTACCGCGTCTTGATGGAGTTCTATGCCCCATTCTCCTTCTGCGGATCTGATCTGCCCCTACTGGCCTCAGGACGAGACTAGAACCCCTACCGAGCCGCCTGGATTCCAGGAAGATGACGCAGCGCGTAATGTCCCATCTCCGAGAACATCTAGCTCGACCGATAGTCTAGAGGACTTCTTCAGGATACCAGACTCGCCCCACGACAGCATCCCCATTCATCCGGCAATTCTTGCCAATCTCGGGCCTTGGGAGAGTGACGACCTCCAGCTACATGCTCCCCCAGCAGACGGCATCACTAATCCGGAGACAACCTGCCTGTATCCTGAACCTCCAGCCATTCTCAGAAGTCCAGCTAGCCGTTTTGAAGAGCCTGGCGAAAGGGATGGTAGTGATAATGGCGGTATTCAGAAAAGTCGTTATGGCTGCCAACGAATGCACCCTCCCTCGCCCGGCACCAGACTAGACCAATCTTTCCCTGATAGCCATGGAAAGCACCAGATTAAGCGAAGAACACAAAAGTTAGAGGGCGGAATTCGCAAGCCACCTCGAGTTCGCTCCACGTCAGCACCCAGGGAAGATTCCTTCGCTGCCCTTCGGTTTCAGTTCACGTCTCTACCACTAAATGACCGTTTGCAATTTTTACCCTGGCGATTTGAAGGTGCACTATCTCACTGCATGTCTAACACCTCACAAACAGCATGTGAAGAATTAAAAGCACGGGAAAGCCGTCGCTCAAGCCCCTGGCCTGAGATCGACCAAAGTCGGAGTGTGTGCAAGAATGTCCGAAAGAGCTCGAGAAAGGGTATGCCATGGTCCACGGAAGAGGTGGGCCTCCTAGTGAAGCTAAGGAAAGACGAAAGTCGATCATGGTCAGATGTGACGAGGGTATTCTCGAAGCAGTACCCAGGGAGAAGTCAGGGCGCGATGCAGGTTTACTGGTGTTCGACTCTCAGCAAGAAAGCGAGTTGACGCTTTCCAAAACCAATTATTTATTTAGTTATCTCCTGATTATGTACGAACTAGGGACATGCGGGAAGCATCCTTTCCATCTTACAGTATCCCTCGATGTTTCAAATCACCACTTAGTCATTTCGCTGGCGTGCTGGTGAGTGTACAAAATACCCTTCGTGTGCTTCGCACACAGGCCATGGTGCTGGCAAGCGAGGTGATCCAGGCACGCCCCGTAAGTTTAACTGTCAGTTACTTGCTCCCATTCTGATTCGTTCGAAAAGATTTCAGCCTCCGAACAGCTACAAACCCGGCGCGAGCCCATGGTAGCTTGGCTTTCTTAGTCCGTCGTTGCAGGTTTGTCATATGATTCATTCGAGATGTTTGGTACTCCTCAAAAAAACTCAGCCCTTCCGAAGTGGATGGTCAGTGGGCTGAGGTGTAAAAGCGTTCATAATTAACACTTCCAACTTCGGCCTTGCTTCATAATTATTTCTTCTCCCATCTTGTTTCTACCTGTTAATACTACGTGGGGTTTTCAGCTCCTGGTCGCCCAGGTCTGAACAGCATATTATTTCACAAGCCATCCTTTTCCGTCTCGCCCGACCACCCAGATCGAAATGTGACTCATTGAGCGTGTCTCCAATATTCAAAATTTTCACATTGTGGCGATAGCACAGCTACTCATCATACAATAGCCCCTTACACACTTCTTCCATAGAGATCAACAATTATGCTCTGACCATAGTGCGGGATGAGTATATAGTCACTGGGCTACTTTGAAACACAGCACTATCATTGATCCTATCAGCTTAGATCACCTCGGGGGTTATGCAAACTTTGCTCACACTTACATTCTGCGCGGCTTGCCTTTATACCTGATCGTTCCTAGACAGCGAGGAAGCTTCGCTCTAGCATTGTTGATGTGGCCAAGAATCGCCTTGACCTCTGCAAGTTCAGTATCCAATGCGGTACAACGCGCTTGAAGAGTCTGCTTGCTTTCTTCAAGGGAATTTTTCTCATGCTGGAGCCTAGTGTTTTCCTCTCTGAGTGCCTCACATCTGGCGTGGTGCTTCTGGAGTTGATCATGTAGCTCGTCCCGTTCTCGTTTCACATTTGTCACTGTGGTCCGTAGCGTTGTTGCTTCTGTTTGCTGGCCCCGTAAAACCTCGTTCAATCTATTTACTTCTCCAGATGTCACTAGATTCTGCTCCTCAGAGTCTCGCACCTGGCGGTCAAGGTCGGAGCATCTCCTTCGTGATTCTGCAACATCAGTTTTCAATCGGTCGTTGTTCGCCTGGAGTCTGCTGATCTCGTTACGTGTTCCGGATAGCTGCTCTTCGGCAGTTTCCCTCCTCAATTTCTCTGTATCGAGCATGTCTCGCAGCCTTTGCAGCTCTGCAGATTGTCTCCCACTAATCCGTTGACTCTCAGCGAGGTCCTCCTCGAGAGCTCGAACCCGGTCTTGCTTTTCATCGAGCTGTGCCTGGATCAAATCCTTCTCGTTCTGTATCCAGGTCTTACCATTTCTTAGCTGAGTGCAATGCTCGTAAATCTCATCCAGTGCCGCCTGTTTCCTCGCAACCAGGCTTTCCGCATCAGCTAGTCGCTCGCCCCTTTCATGTAGTTGCTGTTGAGTTGCATCATTTGTGACTAGCGTATCCTCGAGCTGACGTGACAGGTCTTGTAGCTGCTCTCCTGCAGCATCACGTTCCCTCTCGCTTGTATCTGCTCGCACTCGCTGTTCTTCGAGTACTCTTTGGGCTTCGTCCCTTTCCTCCCGGAGCTCTCGTTGAGTGATCTCGCCATTTCTGTGATATTCGAGGAGCGTCTCGAGCAAGGGGAATATCAAGGGACCACCGGTTGTTAACAGGCCAGCCAGTTGGGATAGGAGGGCATTGCTGGATCGGTCCATCAAACGAGGAGGAGTAGTGTCTTGGGCGTTGCTAGAGAAAGAAGGATAGTCAGAGCGCTGATCCGGCGTTGTATTCCAAGAAGAGGATGGAGCAGGCCGGGGGCTGGTTGAACGTGAATATGAAGAGCACTGTGATAAAGAGATATTATCCATTTGCCCGCATTAACGGACCACAATGAGTGCATAAGCTTTGCTCTGATAAAGATGTGATGACTGTTCGACCAGCGATAGTGGCAGCTGGGTGGTATCGAATACCGATTGTTCGAATCCTTCTTATAAGTCCGTCAGCCGCGGCGAGGTTGTCGCTCTCTGTAATTCTGCTGAGCGTGGCTATGGCGTAGTCCCCGTTAGCAGACTGTGGACACATCATACCCGAGGCGCGAGTATGATCATGGGAAGAGGGTTGTCGGCCACTCGCCGGGTGTAAAGCGCAACGACAGGGGTCGCAGACCAGTAAATGCCTTAGGCAGTTTGATCAAGATACAGCGAGACAATCCGGGATGTTCGCTTAAGATAGAGGACGCCAGCCTGTGTCGGGCTTCCATCCGGTAGACTGGAGCGTGGTCCTGAAGCGGGGTACAGGCATCTCACACCCCAGATCCACTGGTGACAGCCGCTTCGTGCATGCTGAATAGCCTCATCTAAAGGCCGTGTGCGTAGGGGCAGCCAATTAGAGAGGTATTACGGCTTGGCCAGCCGTAACATGTTGCCTTCCTTGCCACCATCCCTGATAACGCAGCTATAATGCCTAAGGTGGCGCCGTGCATTGCATTGGCTCCATGGCCTCCGCTCCAAACATGCACGACAATAAATTTGTTTGCTCGAGGGCGACCCCACTTACCGAAGGCCACCTGTTCATGCATGAAAGCACTTACGAAGATATGCGTAGCGCGAATCATATGCTCCCAGTCTCATCGTCGCGTAGGCAGCAAAGGGACTTTTAGGCCGACTTATCACACCGATTAGTCAGCAGCTGCTCACGGTAACTAGTTAACTTAACTAGGGAACATCGCGTACTGTGTAAGTAGTGTATCATTCTGCCATGAACGATGGGGCAGTCCAATATAGCAATTTCCCTTTGTCAACAATGTCACGCACTGATGCGATGTGCAACCCTCGTAGTAACAATGGCGCAATATGGGCTTGACCGCCCGCTGATGTCACGGCAATTTCCTGGGAGGTCGATTTTCTTTGGAAAAACTTGTGAAACGCTGAAGCTTCACTTCCCATACTGCAGCGCCGCTTCAGTCCCCCAGCGTTTCGGCCTTCAGCAACCGCAAAGGGTCCATGCCAACGGGGAGCTCGTTGAACCTAAATAGTTCTACTTACCTAAGAGGCTTCATAGAAGCCGAAGTCACCGCAGGGCGGCAACTTGAATACTGTACCAGGTACTGCCGAATCCCTCTCCAGACAATGATGAGTCGCCAGACCGATTAGAGCAATGAGGAACGGTTACGTCAGATTTTTGCCAAGGACGATTTTCAGTGACTGGATATCTGAGCCACGTGACTGCTACCGTTTTCCAAGCAGCAACCGCAAGATCACGCCGCAGGAGTGACCTCTGAAGAGCTCAAATCTCATAAAAAGTAAGACCCCTGCCTCTATTTTCGTGGATGCCAGGTCAACGCCGGCATGAAGGCTGCTGAGGAGACTTCTACCCCTTCCGTCGGCGCAGTGATGACACCTGTTGTTTCGCCTTTAGCCTAACCGTTAAGCTGTGACCGCCTACTGGTGTTGCGGCAATTTCCTAGGAAATCGATGCGACCAGAGCTGGGCTTCGAGTCACCAGTTCACTACCACGACACACGCCTCGAGGGAGCGCTGAGCAAGGATACCTGTACAGTATACGACCAGGTAGCCTGGCTTTGCAATCTTGTAGTGGAGCACTCTTGCCTTCTAACTCTATTCCTTCATCGCTTGCTGATAAGCCTGACCCCGCTCGTAATGATTTAGCGCTTGGGTTACTGAAGGTATCGAAATCAAGACATAAGAACCTAGGCAGGAACTGAAGTTGTTTGAGCTCCTTCATTCTCCATCGTTTTCGCTGGCTTGGTGCCGCCCAGCTTTGGCCTTAGTGCTGTTGGCTGTGAGGAAAGTTGACATTTTAAATAAGCCTTGATTTGAGGAATATTTGTCGACAAATTGCCAACAATGAGGAAGTTTGGCGTGAGGGAGATAGACGGGCAGCGAATTATTGGATGAGCTTGAGGCCTTCTCCCCTACCCCGTTCCTTTGTTCCTTTTTCTGCCTTAGTTCTAGACGCTTACGTCCTCCTGCCGCCGACGGGCATCAACACTGCCCTGTGCGGTCTAGCGCCGACCGCTTCGGGATAGCGTGGAGACTTGCCGCTTTTACGGCCTGCGCCTGCCGCCTCAACACTGCCGTTGTACCTATATAAATAAGCCCTGGTTTCAAAATTGTTCTTCTCCCATCTTCTACCCGTTAACGCTGCGTGGGGTTTTCAGCTCTTGCTCGTCCAGGTCTGAACAGCATCTTAATCTCCCCTCGATATCTTAGCGATTTTTTCGATCCCAGGCCCCAGGACGACTTCATGGATCGCCTTCCTGTTCCATCGATATTACGGCCAGATTTCACGTGGCCACGGCGGATGCGATCTGCAATACAACAAACCACCCCTCAAGTACCAGCTGCGCCCAGCAGATGCACCAGAATACTCTGGGGCATTATTCACAAGTTCCTCTATTACTTCTCTCAATGGTACTGCTCTTGGTTCGGCGTTTTGTTCGATGCAAACATCATTCAGTTACCATTCGGCCTCGTCATGAAATGGACCGACCGGACAAGTGTCGAGGAAGCAGTCTCGATGCAAATGGCGAGATCCGCTGGAATGCCTGTACCAAAAGTTATCAGCTGTGGTGAACATTTAGACGCGCCTTATAACCGAAGATTTTCGATTTTGATGACAAGGTTGCCTGGTGTTCCTCTTGGGAACTCGAATGATATACTCCAGGTTGATGCCGAGGAGCCTTGGCTGGAAGAGTTGAGATCCTGTATCACCTCTATGCGATCGTGGCGTCCTCCATGTTCAGAGACGATTTGCTCTCCGATTGGAACTCGATTACGGAGCTCACGAGTTCCTGGTCACATCATGGGTCCTTTTTCCAGCCTAGATGACTTTTACGACTATCTCTTTGCTCCAGCTTCAGCCCATACGTTCGAATCCGATGCAGAATATCAGAAGACTCTTTCACGCGCAAAAAAGCTACAGAATCAGCAGCATAGAATTGTGTTCACTCATGGGGACTTCAAAGCGCACAACATTCTGGTTGGGGATGACGGACATTTATCTGGATTTCTCGATTGGGAATCCGCAGGTTGGTATCCCGAATATTGGGAGTTCACTACAGCTATGCGTTTTGGGAAAGACAGCTGGTGGTTTCAAGTTGCATCTTGGATGGGTGGAAGGCAATATTGGGATGAGCTGGACTCCGATGTGGCTTTAAATCTATTAACTGTCGACTCCTATATAGCCCTTTAGTGACTGAGGCCCCAACGTGGTAAAGTGACTACTAAGAAACATACACGCGTCGGCTTAACTGAATCTGATAACGACGACAATTACAAACACGAGAGCAGAAAACAAACAGGTTCGCACGCCGCGTGAACTTCTCCTTCTAATTTGCTTTCAAAGACACAGAGTGGATCTTACTACCGGTCGTGGCTGGGTGTTGTTTGCTGCCCCTTGACTGTATTGGTTCCCGAAAGCCATACATTCCTGCTGCAAGCCGTCAATATTGCTACAGCGTACTATCCCTTGTTGAATCAACTCTCGCATGATGACCATGAGCCATACTCGGCAGGTTATACCAGGGATTGAATTGACGTCTCCGTCTCGACACCTCATAATTTGGTCGAGAAGACCATGCTTTGCGTGTGGGATGTTCGCGATGTTGATAAGGACGCACAGGAAATTCGACTTGAAAACGCCTCCGGTTGGGCCATGATCCGGGATCCATCCTCCGCCCAGGTTTCTCATGTGATATTTCAATCCTCCCTGGGCGCTAGTGTGAAAGTAAAATCCCCAGTGGAAGTCATTTGGCCGCGGAGGGTCGGATCGAATGTAAAGAACAATAAAGAGCGTGTTTAGAGGTAACCGAGCGTGCATCTTCCTGGGCCTTTTTAATGATCATGGCCCGCTCTCTAGGAGTTCCTGGTTTCTGAGTGGCCTGCATTTGGTCGGACTGGGGAATGAATCGAAGAGGACTTAGAAGAAAGTGACGATAGCTGTTATAAATATATTCAGGATGGAAGATTGAAGACCAAGTTCACGACCGAGGGGCTCACTTTAAGTAGAATAGACGCCGACTGCGAATGCAAATGCCTCCCCCAGTTGCATGGTCTCAGCGCTAATAAGTCAAGCCAATCAATATCCCAGGTCTGCCCCCGATCCTTTGCCAAGAAGGCTCAGGCGGAAACGAAAGCCTTTTATCTTAAGCTAGCCGCGGCAAATCATTGGATGACAAGGCCTGCTTCTGTCAAAAGCGCTCTTCTCATATTTATCTCACACCGACACGGTTTGAGTGGTGATCCACTCTTGCAAGTAAGTACCTAAGCTATACTTGATTGGTTGTCATTTAATGTCAACCACGCGGGGCCGTGCACGAATTCTTATCCCCTTGCGGCGCTACCACTCATCCAAAGTTGGTCTGTGAGCTGGTTTCGAGTTAGTCGTTGATCCACTAAGTTGGTGATTGCATGGCGAATCTGAAGTGGTGTAGGTTGGGGTCTGACTGGTCCATGAGTACGATACTGGCATTTTCGCGAACCCGCAGGCAGCGAAGAGCCCTTGTGAGAGGATGAGCTAAAACCAGTCTAATGTCGGACAAGTCACACAAGGCGTGCATTTAGGTTCACAGCACCGGCTAATAACACGTCAGCATTAATTGGACTCTCGCACTCTAGGGTGGGGTCCAGAAACCCTCGAATCGATCCATGCGTCGAGACCCCCGCAGGAAAGTCCTCTTCCATCCCTCCCCTAATACACGTCCAGAGCTGTGCTAACCTCTGTCTCAAGATCATGTCCAGTGTCTCATTGAATAATTCTATCTGTCCAGTGTGCCAACGAAATTATCGTGGACCTCGTTCCAGGGACTGCCTTCGCGACCATCTTTGGGAATTCAGCTCTAGGTGTGAAAGGCATTTGGAACAGTATACCTACTACTTCCCACGTGCAAGGAGATGCGACAAACCAGGAGTCAGCTGCTCGTTGTGTTCTCGCCGGTATACCAGGCCTTCTTCTCTGAAGAGGCACCTAGCGGCTCGTATGTACAGCTCGAGTCTTCCTAGAGACTGCTAACAACGAAAAATAGATGGACCAAAGAAGCACCTGTGTCACGGATGTGGAAAGACGTTCCGTGAAAAGCGCAATGTTGAGGAGCATTTGCAAAAGAGACGTTGTAAGCTTTCTCAGACTCACGAAGGTAAAATCTCAATTCACATTTACTTGGTCCATGATCTCACAAGAAGCATTAGTTGAGCCTCAGAACCTGCGTATCGACCATGATCAGGAAGTTTTCACTCCAGCAGAGCCTACAAATGGCGGAGCAGGTACGTAATTTCCAGGATATGTTTTGTCTGGTCAAATATATGCTAAATACAAATAAAGAAGAAACCACTTCTCGACTTTCCAGACCTGTTGCGACGAGGCCAGAAGAAACCACCTCCCTTTGTGGGCATACCGAACCTATCGAGCCACAGAACTTCGATCTTTCCACACTGGTGCAAATATTCAACAGCGAGAATTTGGTGGCAAACTCTGCTCCGAATTATAACACCTCAACTGTTGTCGAACCATTAAACAGCGACTGCTTGAACCCTTTACTTATTGACCGCTCACTCTCCAACGTTGATCCCCATAGCTTTGACCTCTCGACCATGGTTCACGGATTTCACGATGCCTCGGCGTACACTTTCACGGAAAATTTCGATCTTTCGGCCTTGGTTCGTCCGTATGGGGGATCAATGTTATCAGCACAGGGCTTGATATCAACGCAACCCGGAGTCGTGTTTCACGGTTGATGCAAGTCAAGTGTTACGGAAGCATGTTGCGGGGTCTTGTCGGCATTCATAGCTCCGCAATGAAGAGGCCATCAAGTCCTGCGCTCACTTCGACTTCACCAGTAATGTAGAGTGTCCATCCCGGCTTTAACTCTACGTCCGATGCAACAGGACACCCAGAAACTATTCGGATAGGAACAATAGACGCCGAGCCTTTTCTGTTATAGAATCGCGCCGCTCCTGGACCAGTCCGAAGGACAGTGTATCCCCATCGGCGAAATTTGATCTTAACAATTAGAAAATTATTCAATAGTTTTTCATCAAAACATACCTTGTTATTGGTTTTCAGTAAGTTGATGAGGGGTTTGCAGGCTTCTTCTAGACCTTCATCGACGCATTTTTCTAGATTGTCTCCCTCCTTCTCAAACTTAGCCTTGTCTCTAAGCCACTTGCTCAGCTCTCGAAGTATCTCAGTCGTGTCGGCGGTAATCTGCTCCTGCTCAAGATGCAATTGCCCCGGTGTGTGTGTTGCCATTGCTTGCTTTTGCTAGCCTTCCCGACAGTCGGGCTTTTGTGGGAGTGCCCGCCTTCCTTCCAAGTGAGGTCAACGAGCATCCCTTGCCCCGCTTTTTGGAGGGGTAATGATTACTAAGGCAACTGTCATGTGACAATGTTAGGCAGTCATTTTCGCCCAAAAGGTCGCTGCAAAACGAAGCAGGTTTCCACCACAGCACCGGTTTCCATTCACAGCACCGGTTTTTAATCACAGCACCGGTTTCCATTCACAGCACCGGTTTCCACCACAGCACCGGTTTCCACCACAGCACCGGTTTCCATTCACAGCACCGGTTTCCACCACAGCACCGGTTTCCATTCACAGCACCGGTTTCCATTCACAGCACCGGTTTCCATTCACAGCACCGGTTTCCAATCACAGCACCGGTTTTTATTTGTCAGTGGCTATAGAATACTTGCGCAGCAAAATGCCTGCAACATGTGCTTGCGCCGTCACGCTCGTCTGCCATTCGTCGTCTGTCATTCGTTTAGGAGTAAGGGTAGATACAGGAAGCGGGCCACAATCTGCATCAGAAGTAATATCTACAACTGGTGGGGCGGCATGGAGATGGCCCAGAACCGCCCCAAAGGGCTTTCTTTCATGATTAGTAGCAATGGTTGAATGCTCTAACTGCGGAAATCTGGAGGGAGATCCCCAAGATTTCTTGGCTGTTGCCGCCGAGATAAGGCGAAGTTCAAAACATCTATAAAGCCGGCAGCCTTGTCCGCAGATTCACACCGCATTTTGGCACAGACCAGCTTGCCTCATCCTTCACAGATCGCCTCCTGCACGCTTCCTTCGACCATGCGTTGGCTAGGCAACATTTTCCCATGTTGGGGCTCCAGGAAACATGGAGGCCGCAAGTTATCAGCAGCACAGTACGGAAGCAACACGAATCGGGGCTCGGGCGAACTAACTGATTTCGTTGGCGAGATGCCCCCTTATTTGGAAGAAGTCAAGCCTGTAAGTACCGAACGCCATGAGTCACTTGATAACAGTTGTCTTACGGGTTCATGCAGGCACAGGGACCCTATTACGTCAATGGCGTGAAGAATCAGACATTGGAGAAGAAGCCCATTGACACAGATTCTAATAGCCTGTCTGATCAGAGTACTGTCGTGAGTTTTGAGGTCCAGACCACCGAGAAGTCACCAATCAACCTGGACTCCGATAGCCTCTCTGATCAAAGTACCGTCGTTGGGTTGGAGATCCAGAACACAGAGCAGACACAAATCAAGCTCGACTCCGGTAGTCTCTCTGGTCAGGTTACTGTTACTGAAAGCATTGACATTTCCAAGCCTGATCATCATGAGGACCTTCAGTTCTGTGGTAGTACGAACGCTTTACCGGTCGAGCCATCTGGGAAGCTGATGGCCACCTTCTTGTGGACCAAGGATGTTTGTCCTGATTCCCTCGAGCTGGTGGATGTCATTCCAGGTTCGGACAAGAAGTCTGGTCTTGTGGAGGGAATCTTCCGCTACAAGAGCTCTCTGGTTCCTATATTCATTCCTTCACGGTATGCCGAGCAGCGACAATGCCAGCCACGCCATTGTGGCACTTCTCAAGTTGATGCACCGATGGAGGAGTCACCTACGGATCACAAACTTGGAAACGAAAGTCCGCTACCATGCAGCACGGGATTTTTAGCCCTACCACCCACTCCACCTACGACTCCCACACCCAGAGAAGCATCAAACACTGCGCAATCCGACAATTTTATAAACTGCACCAACTGGGGCGCCTTTGCTGCCTGGGCACAAGCGCCATCCCCATATCAGGAGTCATACTGATAATACGTTTCTGTTATGCTATGTTCGTAATTCTTTGTCAGGTTGTTGAAGTATGCTAGTAATACAAGTTAGCTCCGTTTATTCGCATGGATACATTAGGATACCTTTAGCACCTGGATACTTAGCAACTCGAAAGAGGCATAACACCGTTACAGAGAGGGAGCTTTGTACTCCAAGAAAGAAGAAGGAAGTTTTGGACAATGGAGAACAGAGGACAGTATGTATCAGAAGCTAGCTGGACATCCGCATACTAACGGACACAGGAAGGCAGCCCTTGTGATGTGGGACCATGGAGGAGAGCAGGAGACGCACGGAAACATGGCTGGGAACAACACGCACCCCGTGTACGTTTCAGGCGATTCTGTTGCTGCTGTGATGAAGAAGTGGCGGTTAAGGAGCTATACTGCGGTATCTGTTCGCACATGAGCTGCGCGGAATGCCTGTTAAGGCAGGGATCATAGTAACTAGTATACTTAGTTAGAGCTCCTGCAGCCCAAGAAAAAAAAATGCGCGAGGAATCAACTTATGGGCATCCATAATCAATACCGCTGTTTGCGCTACTAAATCCTTTGCGTCCGGGCTTGCGTGGCACAATGATCGCAATCAAGCTTGATGAAGATATATATACTATTCTTTATCCCTATGTTGTTTGGTCTTTATTCGTTATTCTCTCCCTATGCTCTTATCACTAGCGCGACCAATATCTATCGAGACATCACCAAAAGAACCACCGCGCGCTGAAAAGGTCGAAGAGAATTCAATCAAAAAAGGCCAGAAGAAACAAGGCTAGAAGAAAGCAGAACAAGAACACCCACGCCTCTTAACGTCCTAAGATTTCCACAAGCAAATACCTCTAGGAAATGTGAGTCAGCAGATACTAGGTCTTTCTCTGTGCTGATTTCATGCCCAGGGACATCGACTTCAAATCAGCCTTAAAAGAGGCCAGACAGAAACGAGATCGCAACGCACAAGCTCGCAGGCGATACCGCGAGCGAGAAGAACCCGAGCGAGGAAAATCCGAGCTTCTTGACCTCCTGGAACTTCGGACGGTCAATTATCTCAAATATGGCGGCAATTTTGGCAAGGAAATGAGTCCACTGAGATGTGAGTACCAGGAAAAGAGTAGGGAAGTGATATTGAAGAAGCTTAAAAAGGTGGAGTCCCTTCTCAGGGCAAAGATCCTTGGACTGCTGGAGTCCAGAGGGTATACTCCTGATAAGACGCTTGAACTGGATCTCTTGGAGGCGCAGCTATTAAAGTGTATTAGAAAAGAAGAAGACTAGAATGTGTCAAGGCGCCTCTAAGAAATACTATAGTTCCTTGAATGGGTATCATGATCTGTTCATTCACCAGCATCTTTAGCCACCTCGCTGAGATAAAATTTATGAAGCTCCATGTCTGCCCTACTCATTGGGAACTAGCACTAATCAATCACCTTGAGCGGCTTGTTAGTGACTTGAGATTTTGAGCCACTTCGCCTTTTATCTAGATCAACTCACCTGCTTTTATCGAGGGAGAGTTTCCTAGTAGTAGGCAATGTGTACAGGTCAACAATTGGAAGTAGACGAGAATTTGCGTGAATGAGAAGGTGCTCTAGCATAATATTATATATACACCTTGAGCCCCCTTGACCTATGCCTGGCTTAGTCCATCAAGTAATACATCTCAACGCAGTAGAGGAATAACCAGTTGGAATCCCGCAACAACCGCTGAAGTTCGTTTGCAAATACACCCCTTGTAACCTGTATGTCAACCAACTCGTTATACCTTTCAGACAGTACTCCGCACATTGCATGAAATTCATCCGAACATTCCAGCGACCGAACAAGAAGGTGGTGATGTTCTGAGGAGAGAATTCGAGGGGCATCCGAAAGCACTTGGTCCGGTATGTGACGCAGTTGGCTGAGGAGTTGACGTATGTCAGATGTCGCATCGAAGTGCCAGGTAACGAGAGCAAGCATGAGGAGTGCTTGGTCACTAAGGTTGGGTAGCATAGATTCGGCAAATGTATCAAGCAGCAGGTGAGCTGGAGTGATAACGGAGCCAAGAGACCGCCCAAGGAAGACCTTGAGAGTTGACTTGGCCGGATTTCGCAGAATAAATCTAGGCACGGAGATCTGTCGTAATTGTTAGTGGCAGGAAGGATACGCGAATGATTCACTGACCATGATTCACACAAGATGCGCAGCCGAAAAAGCGTACATGGAAGAGATATGCTCACTTTCCCGAAGCAAATAATTTGTTCAAGGGACAAAAAGGTATATAACTTGAACATTCCCCGCTTCCGGCGTTGAGACTCCTTGTCCATTCACTCCACAGTCTCTGATGCATGGCCAGGCGTAATATCTAAATCTGGAAGGTGGCTTTTTTTGTCCTTCCACCGGTGGCTAAGAACTATCAGGGACCGCTCTACGCGCCATCGAATCCTTTGCGCCCTGAATCTGCGTGGCAAGAGAGATCTTCGGTAGGACTGCGCGCTAGGCTCATAACAGATTATAATTCTAAAAAAAAAAAAATTGTTTTATTTTCTTTGTTTATTACGGATGTCTAGCCGTAATGCCTTGAACTTGCTTCTCATTCATCCCACTATCATTTGAAGGATCCGGCTCGGCCTCGCGACTTGCGAGTGGCCACAGCTTCAGATGACCCTTTGCAGCCGCAGACGCCAGAGGCGTTCAACATAGTAGGACGGATTAATTATATTGAATTATGTTATTCGCACGGATATAGTAAAATACCTCAAGCTCTTGGATTCTTAGCGTGGGCTACTAATCTTTTACTTTTGTGTCGCCGGTGTAAAGGATTGAGGCTTTCTAAAACTTGTGGTATATAAGGGTCCTACGTACTCATTGTACAACCAGCTGGCATGCCGTTTGGAATTGAACTCGACGAGGATATTCACGTCGTCCTTTATCCCTATATTGCGTACTACCTGTTTGTTATCCTCGCCCTCTGCTCCAATTTTAGCCGCGGCCCCAATCAATCAAAACCGAGCCGACGAACTACCAGAACAAAGCGCCGCGCAAAAAAGTCAATCAAGATCAAAAAGAAACGATACAGGAGGAACAAGGCTCAAAGAAAGCGAAACAGAAGGGGAAGACGATAGTAGACAACAGAAACAGCAGTGAGGCTGGAGGAGAATCTTTCTCCCCTTATTTTTGAAGTGAGCATAGTCTTCCGCGTTCAGAGTTCTATCCGAATACTTATACGGACAGATGGAGCCGCTTGACCCAAGATACGGCAATTCTGCCTTGTTCGCACCGGAGCTACAAAAACTCCAGCTCACTGCGAGCACCGAAGTTTACCCTGCCTTCCCAAATGACATCTTCGCTACATACCAGTCGGGTCACAATGCTGTCTTTACTCTGCCATGCACCGAATCGGGTGAGCCCACGAACGCCGAGTCAAATGTCACTGTCCATCTACATGATTGTTCCTTTATTGGTGGTGCCTGGGCTGAGAATGGTTTCATCACTGTGATCTTCATATTCAGGGCCAGGAGAATCTGGGTACCTGTCCCAGAAGAAAACCTGGATGAGGAATTGGAACTTCCTTGTGGTATTTCATACATCTCTGATAAAGGTCTTTTGATGACAGACGTCTATCTGAAGACACTTGGTGGTGGGCACGAGATGATCTCTGTATGTCTTGACGACTGTGAAATCAAGGGCGTTGAGGATAAAGTCGACGGGGATGACAGTATTGCAATCCTTCTGGACTTTGGTGGGAGACTCTGGGTGTTCGTTGATCATGAATATGTGATGAGATGCGGCTATAAGTACTTGAGCAAGCCTTGAGAGAAAACAGGTCTTTGGCAGACAGGATGATTCTAAACTATTGGCTCGAACTTTGTCTTTTGTCTTCCTTCTTCGAGTTTGTGTTTCTAGATTNCACAGCACCGGTTTCCATTCACAGCACCGGTTTCCAATCACAGCACCGGTTTTTATTTGTCAGTGGCTATAGAATACTTGCGCAGCAAAATGCCTGCAACATGTGCTTGCGCCGTCACGCTCGTCTGCCATTCGTCGTCTGTCATTCGTTTAGGAGTAAGGGTAGATACAGGAAGCGGGCCACAATCTGCATCAGAAGTAATATCTACAACTGGTGGGGCGGCATGGAGATGGCCCAGAACCGCCCCAAAGGGCTTTCTTTCATGATTAGTAGCAATGGTTGAATGCTCTAACTGCGGAAATCTGGAGGGAGATCCCCAAGATTTCTTGGCTGTTGCCGCCGAGATAAGGCGAAGTTCAAAACATCTATAAAGCCGGCAGCCTTGTCCGCAGATTCACACCGCATTTTGGCACAGACCAGCTTGCCTCATCCTTCACAGATCGCCTCCTGCACGCTTCCTTCGACCATGCGTTGGCTAGGCAACATTTTCCCATGTTGGGGCTCCAGGAAACATGGAGGCCGCAAGTTATCAGCAGCACAGTACGGAAGCAACACGAATCGGGGCTCGGGCGAACTAACTGATTTCGTTGGCGAGATGCCCCCTTATTTGGAAGAAGTCAAGCCTGTAAGTACCGAACGCCATGAGTCACTTGATAACAGTTGTCTTACGGGTTCATGCAGGCACAGGGACCCTATTACGTCAATGGCGTGAAGAATCAGACATTGGAGAAGAAGCCCATTGACACAGATTCTAATAGCCTGTCTGATCAGAGTACTGTCGTGAGTTTTGAGGTCCAGACCACCGAGAAGACACCAATCAACCTGGACTCCGATAGCCTCTCTGATCAAAGTACCGTCGTTGGGTTGGAGATCCAGAACACAGAGCAGACACAAATCAAGCTCGACTCCGGTAGTCTCTCTGGTCAGGTTACTGTTACTGAAAGCATTGAAATTTCCAAGCCTGATCATCATGAGGACCTTCAGTTCTGTGGTAGTACGAACGCTTTACCGGTCGAGCCATCTGGGAAGCTGATGGCCACCTTCTTGTGGACCAAGGATGTTTGTCCTGATTCCCTCGAGCTGGTGGATGTCATTCCAGGTTCGGACAAGAAGTCTGGTCTTGTGGAGGGAATCTTCCGCTACAAGAGCTCTCTGGTTCCTATATTCATTCCTTCACGGTATGCCGAGCAGCGACAATGCCAGCCACGCCATTGTGGCACTTCTCAAGTTGATGCACCGATGGAGGAGTCACCTACGGATCACAAACTTGGAAACGAAAGTCCGCTACCATGCAGCACGGGATTTTTAGCCCTACCACCCACTCCACCTACGACTCCCACACCCAGAGAAGCATCAAACACTGCGCAATCCGACAATTTTATAAACTGCACCAACTGGGGCGCCTTTGCTGCCTGGGCACAAGCGCCATCCCCATATCAGGAGTCATACTGATAATACGTTTCTGTTATGCTATGTTCGTAATTCTTTGTCAGGTTGTTGAAGTATGCTAGTAATACAAGTTAGCTCCGTTTATTCGCATGGATACATTAGGATACCTTTAGCACCTGGATACTTAGCAACTCGAAAGAGGCATAACACCGTTACAGAGAGGGAGCTTTGTACTCCAAGAAAGAAGAAGGAAGTTTTGGACAATGGAGAACAGAGGACAGTATGTATCAGAAGCTAGCTGGACATCCGCATACTAACGGACACAGGAAGGCAGCCCTTGTGATGTGGGACCATGGAGGAGAGCAGGAGACGCACGGAAACATGGCTGGGAACAACACGCACCCCGTGTACGTTTCAGGCGATTCTGTTGCTGCTGTGATGAAGAAGTGGCGGTTAAGGAGCTATACTGCGGTATCTGTTCGCACATGAGCTGCGCGGAATGCCTGTTAAGGCAGGGATCATAGTAACTAGTATACTTAGTTAGAGCTCCTGCAGCCCAAGAAAAAAAAAATGCGCGAGGAATCAACTTATGGGCATCCATAATCAATACCGCTGTTTGCGCTACTAAATCCTTTGCGTCCGGGCTTGCGTGGCACAATGATCGCAATCAAGCTTGATGAAGATATATATACTATTCTTTATCCCTATGTTGTTTGGTCTTTATTCGTTATTCTCTCCCTATGCTCTTATCACTAGCGCGACCAATATCTATCGAGACATCACCAAAAGAACCACCGCGCGCTGAAAAGGTCGAAGAGAATTCAATCAAAAAAGGCCAGAAGAAACAAGGCTAGAAGAAAGCAGAACAAGAACACCCACGCCTCTTAACGTCCTAAGATTTCCACAAGCAAATACCTCTAGGAAATGTGAGTCAGCAGATACTAGGTCTTTCTCTGTGCTGATTTCATGCCCAGGGACATCGACTTCAAATCAGCCTTAAAAGAGGCCAGACAGAAACGAGATCGCAACGCACAAGCTCGCAGGCGATACCGCGAGCGAGAAGAACCCGAGCGAGGAAAATCCGAGCTTCTTGACCTCCTGGAACTTCGGACGGTCAATTATCTCAAATATGGCGGCAATTTTGGCAAGGAAATGAGTCCACTGAGATGTGAGTACCAGGAAAAGAGTAGGGAAGTGATATTGAAGAAGCTTAAAAAGGTGGAGTCCCTTCTCAGGGCAAAGATCCTTGGACTGCTGGAGTCCAGAGGGTATACTCCTGATAAGACGCTTGAACTGGATCTCTTGGAGGCGCAGCTATTAAAGTGTATTAGAAAAGAAGAAGACTAGAATGTGTCAAGGCGCCTCTAAGAAATACTATAGTTCCTTGAATGGGTATCATGATCTGTTCATTCACCAGCATCTTTAGCCACCTCGCTGAGATAAAATTTATGAAGCTCCATGTCTGCCCTACTCATTGGGAACTAGCACTAATCAATCACCTTGAGCGGCTTGTTAGTGACTTGAGATTTTGAGCCACTTCGCCTTTTATCTAGATCAACTCACCTGCTTTTATCGAGGGAGAGTTTCCTAGTAGTAGGCAATGTGTACAGGTCAACAATTGGAAGTAGACGAGAATTTGCGTGAATGAGAAGGTGCTCTAGCATAATATTATATATACACCTTGAGCCCCCTTGACCTATGCCTGGCTTAGTCCATCAAGTAATACATCTCAACGCAGTAGAGGAATAACCAGTTGGAATCCCGCAACAACCGCTGAAGTTCGTTTGCAAATACACCCCTTGTAACCTGTATGTCAACCAACTCGTTATACCTTTCAGACAGTACTCCGCACATTGCATGAAATTCATCCGAACATTCCAGCGACCGAACAAGAAGGTGGTGATGTTCTGAGGAGAGAATTCGAGGGGCATCCGAAAGCACTTGGTCCGGTATGTGACGCAGTTGGCTGAGGAGTTGACGTATGTCAGATGTCGCATCGAAGTGCCAGGTAACGAGAGCAAGCATGAGGAGTGCTTGGTCACTAAGGTTGGGTAGCATAGATTCGGCAAATGTATCAAGCAGCAGGTGAGCTGGAGTGATAACGGAGCCAAGAGACCGCCCAAGGAAGACCTTGAGAGTTGACTTGGCCGGATTTCGCAGAATAAATCTAGGCACGGAGATCTGTCGTAATTGTTAGTGGCAGGAAGGATACGCGAATGATTCACTGACCATGATTCACACAAGATGCGCAGCCGAAAAAGCGTACATGGAAGAGATATGCTCACTTTCCCGAAGCAAATAATTTGTTCAAGGGACAAAAAGGTATATAACTTGAACATTCCCCGCTTCCGGCGTTGAGACTCCTTGTCCATTCACTCCACAGTCTCTGATGCATGGCCAGGCGTAATATCTAAATCTGGAAGGTGGCTTTTTTTGTCCTTCCACCGGTGGCTAAGAACTATCAGGGACCGCTCTACGCGCCATCGAATCCTTTGCGCCCTGAATCTGCGTGGCAAGAGAGATCTTCGGTAGGACTGCGCGCTAGGCTCATAACAGATTATAATTCTAAAAAAAAAAAAAAAAATTGTTTTATTTTCTTTGTTTATTACGGATGTCTAGCCGTAATGCCTTGAACTTGCTTCTCATTCATCCCACTATCATTTGAAGGATCCGGCTCGGCCTCGCGACTTGCGAGTGGCCACAGCTTCAGATGACCCTTTGCAGCCGCAGACGCCAGAGGCGTTCAACATAGTAGGACGGATTAATTATATTGAATTATGTTATTCGCACGGATATAGTAAAATACCTCAAGCTCTTGGATTCTTAGCGTGGGCTACTAATCTTTTACTTTTGTGTCGCCGGTGTAAAGGATTGAGGCTTTCTAAAACTTGTGGTATATAAGGGTCCTACGTACTCATTGTACAACCAGCTGGCATGCCGTTTGGAATTGAACTCGACGAGGATATTCACGTCGTCCTTTATCCCTATATTGCGTACTACCTGTTTGTTATCCTCGCCCTCTGCTCCAATTTTTGCCGCGGCCCCAATCAATCAAAACCGCGCCGACGAACTACCAGAACAAAGCGCCGCGCAAAAAAGTCAATCAAGATCAAAAAGAAACGATACAGGAGGAACAAGGCTCAAAGAAAGCGAAACAGAAGGGGAAGACGATAGTAGACAACAGAAACAGCAGTGAGGCTGGAGGAGAATCTTTCTCCCCTTATTTTTGAAGTGAGCATAGTCTTCCGCGTTCAGAGTTCTATCCGAATACTTATACGGACAGATGGAGCCGCTTGACCCAAGATACGGCAATTCTGCCTTGTTCGCACCGGAGCTACAAAAACTCCAGCTCACTGCGAGCACCGAAGTTTACCCTGCCTTCCCAAATGACATCTTCGCTACATACCAGTCGGGTCACAATGCTGTCTTTACTCTGCCATGCACCGAATCGGGTGAGCCCACGAACGCCGAGTCAAATGTCACTGTCCATCTACATGATTGTTCCTTTATTGGTGGTGCCTGGGCTGAGAATGGTTTCATCACTGTGATCTTCATATTCAGGGCCAGGAGAATCTGGGTACCTGTCCCAGAAGGAAACCTGGATGAGGAATTGGAACTTCCTTGTGGTATTTCATACACCTCTGATAAAGGTCTTTTGATGACAGACGTCTATCTGAAGACACTTGGTGGTGGGCACGAGATGATCTCTGTATGTCTTGACGACTGTGAAATCAAGGGCGTTGAGGATAAAGTCGACGGGGATGACAGTATTGCAATCCTTCTGGACTTTGGTGGGAGACTCTGGGTGTTCGTTGATCATGAATATGTGATGAGACGCGGCTATAAGTACTTGAGCAAGCCTTGAGAGAAAACAGGTCTTTGGCAGACAGGATGATTCTAAACTATTGGCTCGAACTTTGTCTTTTGTCTTCCTTCTTCGAGTTTGTGTTTCTAGATTAAGCCTCTGTTATACTGAAGTAGTATGAAATCCTCTGGAGAACACCTCACCAATCGCTATCATCCAACTCTGTGTAGTCTTCAGAGTCCGCGTCATACCCCGTGCCATTTACAGACTCTAGGTCATCAGATTCTTCATCCCCAAAGCCTCCGTATTCGAACTCTCCACGGTCATTAAATACCCCGGCATAGTCAGGTTGGTCGCTAGTGATCAGTATTCTTTCCATGGTGACAATAGCACTTTTTTCGAAGGGACAATCCTCGTTCAAGGGCATGGAATTAGCTCCGTGCTCAAGCGTTTTCCGGAGACCTATGAACCGGCTGTACTTGTCGGGTACCTCAACCCCAGCCCGAACCATACCATCAATCAGGCAAGTAACCAAGAAGGGAGAAGTGCTGGCATCCTAGTAAACGTTAGCGACAAGACTTGCCTGGAAGAAGGCCTGGTACCAAAATGTGTAGTAGCATGGCAACCTGCGCCTGATCGCATGCATACTGGCACGTGTCTCTCAAGAGTCGCCACTTATGCACTAAGAAAGACATTGGTGCGTAGTTAAATAAGTTCTGGATCTCTGTAGCCATGTCCCCGACAGCTCCCCAATAGATTCTGGTAAAAAAGCCGGTATCGATGGAGGAAGATGGTAGCGGTGATGGTCTAAGCCAATGCTGATATTTGTCTGCGAGGGTCCGAAGAACGTCTTCACGTTCGGGGGAAGGTTGCTTCAAAGCAGAATCGAGTGGGTTGGTTATGAAGTTAAAATAACTCGAATTGAAGGTGGTTCTCAAAAGGACCGTGGTAGCTGCTTCGCTGATACAGGAGTTCCTGCTTAACAAAAACTTCTTCAAGTTAGCAGTGATTCTAGATGTAAAGAGTTTCTTACCCCTAAAACACGCCAGGCTCGCTCTCTGTCAAAGTTTCGGAAATTGTCCAGTATCAAAAGAAGGCCTCGGCTAAGAGCTTCAGCAGGACCGGGTTCGTGAGCCAATCTTGACTTCTCCCAGGAAGTGAATGGAAAGTGGTTAGTGAGTCTGGCAGCCTGCGCAGACATCATAATAGCAACAAGAAGGTCGGGGTGGAAACCACGCACCTCCTGCCGGAAGATTTCAAGCTGATTCATGATATAAAGTGAAGAGAGACAAGGCACTGGAGCACAGAGCAAGGGCTTTGGATGCTATTTGAATCTCTGAGGTGGCACGCAAAGGAAGGATGGATCGAAAGTACGCCCATCGAATCGCGTGCCACCAATGGGGCGCCAAAAGGGAAGTAACTCATTGGCTATCCAGACCCAGCTACATGCAGCTGGTAGTGCTCAGCCACCCAATTTACTTGAGGTAGTCGCTTGGTTGAGTCACAGCATTAGACATAGACCGTGTTCTTCTATCTAGTTATCAAGCGAACAACTGGCGGAGGAAAGTGGGAAGAATAGATGGCTCTGTTCCTTGATATCCTCATTACTAATGACGGCTCCAGCGCCAATCAAAAGAAACGGAAGTGAGAGAAAGCGACTACCATATATCTCCTATGCCGCGAAAAAGGGTACTAGATATTTTCCCCTGCAGGTTGCTGCACACAAACGAGGTCCTCACCGACTGCGTACGCTGGCCACTTGATTGGGCCCCATAGCACAAGAATTAGGCATAGCCCTGCTCCTTAAGCAGAATATTTGAGCAAGGATACTTCAGGTCAAGCAGGAAGGA